ACCCCAAACCTTGCTGGGACCCCCTCCCCTTGCCCCCTGACCCCTCCTGCGCCGCCCCCCAGGCCTGTTCCAGAAGGCCATCGCCCAGAGCGGCACGGCCATCGCCAGCTGGTCGGTCAACTACCAGCCCCTCAAGTACACGCGGCTGCTGGCGGCCAAGGTGGGCTGCGAGCGCGCCGACACCGGCGCCGCCGTCGAGTGCCTGCGGCGCCAGCCCTTCCGCGCCCTGGTGGACCAGGACGTGCAGCCCGCCCGCTACCACGTGGCCTTCGGGCCGGTGGTGGACGGCGACGTGGTGCCGGACGACCCCGAGATCCTGATGCAGCAGGGCGAGTTCCTCAACTACGACATCCTCATCGGCGTCAACCAGGGCGAGGGGCTGAAGTTCGTGGAGGACTCGCTGGAGAGCGAGGACGGCATCTCGGCCTCCTACTTCGACTTCACGGTGTCCAACTTCGTGGACAACCTCTACGGCTACCCCGAGGGCAAGGACATCCTGCGGGAGACCATCAAGTTCATGTACACGGACTGGGCCGACCGCGACAACGGCGAGATGCGGCGCAAGACGCTGCTGGCGCTCTTCACCGACCACCAGTGGGTGGCCCCGGCGGTGGCCACGGCCAAGCTGCACGCCGAGTACCAGTCGCCGGTGTACTTCTACACCTTCTACCACCACTGCCAGACGGACGCGCGGCCGGAGTGGGCGGACGCGGCGCACGGCGACGAGATCCCCTACGTCTTCGGCGTGCCCATGGTGGGCGCCACGGATCTGTTCCCCTGCAACTTCTCCAAGAACGACGTCATGCTCAGCGCCGTGGTCATGACCTACTGGACCAGGGGGGGATGGGGGGAGGGGCGGCCCCGCGGGCGTTTTTAATTAAAAAAAGGAAAAAAACGGAGAAAAAAAATATCGTGAACCGGAAGTGACGGAGCCGAAAGGGGCGGGGCTGAGGGGAGGGCACGCCCACCGCGGCACGGCGCGATCCCATTGGCTGAGAGGGGAGGGGGCGGGGAGGGGTAAAATCAAACTGGGAGGGACTGGGAATGAACTGGGAGGGAACTGGGGGGGACTGGGAGGGATTGGGAGGGAACTGGGAATGAACTGGGATAAACTGGGAGGGACTGGGATTGAATTGGGATGAACTGGGAGGGAACTGGGGGGGACTGGGAGGGATTGGGAGGGAACTGGGAATGAACTGGGATAAACTGGGAGGGACTGGGATTGAATTGGGATGAACTGGGAGGGAACTGGGGCAAACTGGGAGGGACTGGGACAAACTGGGATGAACTGGGATTGAATTGGGATAAACTGGGATTGACCTGGGGGGGACTGGGATTGAATTGAGGGGGACTGGGAGGGACTGGGAGGGACTGGGATGAACTGGGATTGGACTGGGAGGGAGTGGGGGGGACTGGGACAAACTGGGGAGGGCTGGGATTAACTGGGATAAACTGGGATTGAATTGAGGGGGACTGGGAGGGAACTGGGACAAACTGGGAGCAACTGGGGGGGACTGGGATGGGACTCAGATAAACTGGGAGGGACTGGTCCCTACTGGGAAGCGCTGGGCAGGCTCAGATCAGCTGCTCTGGACTGGTCCGGACTGGTTTTACTGGTCCGTACTGGTCTGGACTGGTTTGTACTGGTATTACTGGTTCATACTGGTTTTTACCAGTCCATACTGGTCCATACTGGTTTACACTGGTCCATACTGGTTTATCCCAGTCCATACCAGTCCATACTGGTTTATACTGGTCCGCACTGGTCCATACTGGTTTTTACTGGTCCAAACCAGTCCACACTGGTTTACACTGGTCCATACTGGTTTTTACTGGTATTACTGGTCCATACTGGTTTATACTGGTTTTTACCAGCCCATACTGGTCCATACTGGTTTGTGCTGGTCCATACTGGTCCGTACTGGTTTTAACCAGTCCATACTGGTTTATACCGGTCCAAACCAGTCCACACTGGTTTACACTGGTCCGTACTGGTCCATACTGGTTTATACTGGTCCATACCGGTTTATCCCTGTCCATACCGGTCCATACCGGTCCATACTGGTTTATACTGGTTTATCCCGGTCCATACTGGTTTATACTGGTTTGTACTGGTTTTTACTGGTCCATACCGGTTTATCCCGATCTATACTGGTCCATACTGGTTTATACTGGTTTATCCCGGTCCATACTGGTTTATACTGGTTCGTACTGGTCGGTGCCGCTCCCGGGGTGGGGGAGGGGCGCCGCGGGACGTGCCGGGGGGCGTGGCCTCGCCCCCGCCCCTCCCCCCCCGCCCTCGTGGTCAGTTGGGTGGTTGATGAATTGGGTCAGTCATTGGTTGGTCACGCGGTCACTTGGTCAGTTGGTCAATTGGTCAGTTGAGTGGTTGGGTGGTCAGTTGGGTGGTCAGTTGGTCAGTTGGGTGGTTGGATGAAGAGTTGGGTGGTTGAGTGGTCAGTTGAGTGGATGATGAATTGGTCAATCATTGGTTGCTCAGTTGGTCAATTGGCCAGTTGGTCACTTGGTCAGTTGATCAATTGGTCAATTGGTCATTTGGTCAGTTAGTCACTTGGTCAGTTGGTCACTTGGTCAGTTGGTCACTTGGTCAGTTGGTCACTTGGTCAGTCGGTCACTTGGTCAGTCGGTCACTCTGCCCTCCGCCCCGCAGCGACCCCAACCAGCCGGTGCCGCAGGACACCAAGTTCATCCACACCAAGCCCAACCGCTTCGAGGAGGTGGTGTGGACGCGCTTCGACGGCAAGGACAAGCGCTACCTGCACATCGGCCTGAAGCCGCGCGTGCGCGACCACTACCGCGCCAACAAGGTCGCCTTCTGGCTGGAGCTGGTGCCGCACCTGCACAACCTGCACCAGCTGCCGCACGCCTCCCCCACCACGCGCCTGCCGCCGCCCGCCGGGCCCCCGCGCCGCCCCCCGCCCACGCGCCG